GAGAAGAGAAGAGACGAGACGAAAAGAGAGATCTTCCCCTCACTAGATAAACAAGACCATAACGAGCTCATATGTGGAATTATGGCCCTAAACCCCTAAAATAAGGCGACGCCCTGAAGGTTTATTCGACCCATTTTAAACACATATATTCCTCTCTCTCTCTCTCTCTCGCGCGCGACGTGTGTGTGTGTGTGTGTGTGTGTGTGTGTGTGTGTGTGTGTAATGGACTACAAACGTACACATGATAGAGTGATCTCTAAAGTACATTATATGAGACAAGTAATTTCTCGTCTCGCTTGGCTCGCCTTGTACACCGTGATGAAGAGAGATGAAAATTTTAAAGAATAATGAAGAGATAAATGGGAAAAAATAAGAAGGAAATTTCATACATTAGTTAAGAAAAGATTGAAGGAGGCGAGTGCTACTGAGGTTCGACTAGATGGACCTACAGTAGAGTGTGGCGTAAGGGCGGGGAGATGAAGAATGATGGGTGTGGTAAAAGGAGGAGGGGATGGCGAATTCAATATCACCAGTTAATTGACCATGGGAACTCTTGTAAAAAAGGAGGAAAGCGTGGAAGAGGTAGTAAGGGAAAGGCTGGTGTCTTAGTTTACAGTCATAGGTTGTACTTTGGTGTGACGGTGACAAGTAAAGTAATAAAGACCTATCCTATATGTGTGGCTAGAAATGTAACGAGGATGGCCGGACCAAGGGGCACCTAGCCTTGAATTTGTTTAAGGTGTAGATGGTATCGCCAACACAACAACCACACCCTGAGTTAACGAGTTGCATGACCCAGTGTCAAGGAATAGTCCGAGAAGACCGAACAACTCGCCAACTGCACTGGCTAACCATTACCCAGCAATACGATCTGCAAATCGATTAACATCCAGGTTCCCAAATACTGTTGGGTAGACGCGGCAAATGGCGTAAATAAACCTGCAATGGTTTCACCCTGCCCGGGAATCGAACCCGGGTCCGCTTACTTGCGAGGCGAGCATGCTGACTATTACACCACAGGACACAGACACACATCTTCAGAGGCAACTTAAGATGTATTGAATAAAGACGAAAGCTAAGGTTCTCCATTGTTTCCCTTTTCCCTGTGTGATTTTATCAAGATTTACCTTATCCACGTTTCCATTGTATATATATATATATATATATATATATATATATATATATATATATATATATATATATATATATATATATATATCACGTGACGACTTTTAATGAAATGATAACTAGTAATTTGGGGATACTTCATAGAAGCATTAGAACATAAGAAAGGAGGGAGCTGCAGCGGGCCTATTGGCCAATACTGGGCAGTCCCGTTCCTTATCGCTCATATATCCGTCAAACTTTTATTTAAAGCTACGCAGCGTGTTCGAGTTAATGATGTTGGGTAACGTGTGCCACTCATCCACTACTCTATTTCCAAACCAGTGTTTATCTATGTAACGCCGAAATCTAAATTTGTCTAATTTAAAACCATTGCTACGAGTTCGTTCCTGGTTGGAACAAATTTATTTTCACTTTTACCTGATGACTTTTGTCGACAGTTTTATCAACATTTAAAGGCGGGTCTGATCAAACGCCACAATCTGAGTTAATGCGGTGAGTGTTAGAGGACGTGCAGATGAGGGCGGCTTGGCCGCGTGACCAGGTAAATTCCACTTTACTTTCCACTACAGGTGTATTGTACCTTCACTCACGTGACAGTTTATGCGCCACAGTATCTGACATTTGAGTAATAAACTAAAAATGAACAAATAGTCATAATTTTTGTTCAGTTGTACTAGGAACTTATACATTCTCAAGATAGTGTTTATTTATAGATATTACTGAGTGTTTCTACCAGCGAGTGTCAGTATGAGTGAGACAGGGGGAGCAACAAAAGGGGAAGAATCCACCAAGGCAACACCACGTCTCTCTCAACACAACCAAGACCTTTCTCCGCCACGCCCCTGCCCCGCCACCAAGCCCAAGACCCTTATCTGCCGCGCCCTTGCCACGCCCCTGCCCCGCCACCACCGCTACATCTCCACCACCCTATCACCACCACCGCCGCACCCCGTCAGGCACGTGCCGCCAACATCCATCCTCGTCACAAGTTTCCAAACTCACCGGACCACACAGGCAGCATCACGCCGAGGCCCCCTCCCCAGCCCCCTCTCCCTCACACATAAAAAGACTCGCATTAAACCCCCAAAGAGTAAAGCCGTTTACTCTTCATCACCTTCTAAAAACAACGTACAAAAAATGTCACTTTTTGGCGTAAAGAGGTTTAAGTGGAGTGGGAGTGAAGCCTTAACGACTGTGCTCCCTAGAATACCTAATGTGACACACACACACACACACACACACACACACACACACACACACACACACACACACACACACACACACACACACACACACACACACACACACACACACATATCCTCTGTACATATTACCGGTCACTCACCCTCATTTCCTCACAGTTCTACAAACGAATAAAACGTAACAATATATTTTATACTTCACACAATGAAATCGGGGTCGATGCTCTAGTGTCTTGCGTCTACACCTACACAAACATTATACACATACCATCACACACGCGATCCTCTGTACATGTTACCGAAAACTCACCCTATGCTTCAACACAGTAAAAAAATAACAAAGGGTTTTAAACACAATAGTCCCAGTGGTAACGTGTCGATAACTGTTACATAAAATTAGTACAGTCTTCCGCTTACACACACTAGCAAGGAACAAACACATGAAATTCCTCACGGTTCACTAATATTCCCCAGGTGAATTGTGTTCTTCCCACGCACCGCTGATTACGCTAAATCAATGTAACCAAGAGTAACACCCAGGATAGTTCTTCCCTCACAACACCCAACCTCCTCCTCCCTCCTGTTGGTCGTCCCCGGCACCTCATAAGTGCACACATCTGTCACACTGCCCCACCCTGGGTAATCCCCACTCCTTTATTAATTACGCCACTACTGAGAAAGCCTTTCACGTGGCGGAGTTATCAGGCGCGGCGGGGTAATTCTGCGGGTCACCTTAATACAGACATACAGCACACACACACACACACACACACACACACACACACACACCTCACTAATGTTATTACAGTACTACCGCCGCCATCCTCGCGGTACTCTGTATACTACGCCATAGTTCTGTGCCACTCCCCAGATTTATACATGCTAGAGGTAAAATTTCGTCACCTATCAAAAATAAGAGAACTAATCTTCAAACAATACTACAACTACTTTCGAAAGATAACCAAATAATGCATAAACACCTGAGCTTTATTATTGTACACGTGAAATAATATCCACAGGAATTCAACAACTGTACAGTCACGGAAAAAGTCCCGTCAGTCCTCCACCCAGAGACTCGTGAAACTGTGAATCCGAGACATCACACATTGTCGGGCCCATAGGTGGTCACTGGGTCGTGTGGTGTCTCGGATTCACAGGCTCATGAGTCTCAGGTCGGAGGAATGACACGACTTTTTCCTGATTGTATCTTTAACATCGTGTCGCGCAAAGACATGTTTATCACCAAGACGAATATATATTATTGTGTAATACATTTGGTGTCATCGAACTGGCTGCGTCAGGGTAGTTAAGGTGGGGGAGGCTACGACCGACTGAACAACCAAGTCAGTTGCTGTTAACAAAGAAAAAAATATCAAGGTGTTTATACAAGGAGCAATACAGTAAGTGAACAAAGGATTATACAAGCGGGTGGAAGGCCAAGTGAACAAAGGTGAACACGATCAATAAGAATGAGACGCTTATTAAACATGAATAATCACACAAGAAAGTCCATTGACACGCCTGAGACTCGGCATTCTTGAAATGATTCACTGCTTGTTCACATTTAAATGACGCTGTAGTAACTCACAGCTTCGAAACACGACTGCAAACTGTAGTCCCTGACCGCACATACTAAAAATAAAAACAAAACAACCAAACAAAATAAGAAAGGATATTTCGCCTTCAATCGATATATCAACGGGACATTAAAAAAAAAACTTTAATTTCTTTAAGATGTTGTCCAGTGTAGATAGAAATTAAGACCTAGTGAATGCTGCTTAAAGACCCTCCCCGGGGAAGCGGTATCAAGCATGGTAACATTTGGAGGAAGGTGTAAGACTGCAAATAGAAGCCAAAACAGCTGGTCACAACAGATTTATGTACAGCTGCTGGGGCGGGTCAGGAAACACTCCATCACTGTAAACTGAATGGAAAATATAGTGTGCAACCGGAAGCTGGGACCGCTCTTCACAGCCGATCTATGTACAGTACAGTTGGGGACATTTCCGACTCGTGCACTCAGCGATGTCAATCCACTCGTTCCGTGAGGTGTGAACCCCTAGAACATCGTAGCGTGAATCCGAAGCCTCTACAGTAAGTTACTCGGTGAGTCGCGAGATGCACACAGTAGCCTGGGACCACAGGGATATAATTTGACTCATTACTGTACATGGTCCGGCAATGTTTACATAGATTAAATATTGCAGTATGGACGCTTTTCATTCATCTAACGTGGACTTACTGGGCTACCTAAGTACAGTTAAAAATGGAAGTACAGTATATGCATCCGTCGGACACATTAGTGATAAAAATGTGTTAAATCTGGTGAAAATGTGGCAATACACGATGAAGTTTTTAAGTGACACACAACACATGACCAACAGCTTTATATCATCTTTGGACAACACCAGTAACGTATAGTGTCGTATATCTGACGCTGCTTGACTACTTTCTACATAAGTCGCATTGTAGAAAAAATAAATAAAAATATCGACTCATTACCTAAGCACGCCGAGACCGATTGTTTGAAAACTAAGCTTTATTTCAAGGTTCTGGAATCGATCCCCGGTCAAAGCGGTGTTTTTGTGGAGGTTCCTCGACCACAACACCCCATTACTCAACTCAGGTTTGAATGGGTACCTGCTTGCTGGGGAAGGTGAACCTCTGGTCTCAAGTGGCACTAGTTCCTGTATCTGGGCCACAAGGTTCTCTCCAGCGAGGGCTCTTAAGGCCTAAGGACATAGAAGCAGCAGGCGGACCACCTATGAGCAGCTCCAGCACTTGCTGTAATTAATCAAATTGTAATGGGCCCCTGTCTCATCAACAGAACATATTATATAAATGGGTCAATACATCTGATATTATATTCAGATTCACCACCCTGTATCTTTCCACTGTCTATGAGTAAGACATGAGTTGTACACGTGAACGGTAGCTTTCCCAAGAGGGACAAGCCCATATGTCAGTATCTACGTAAGCACGCACCAGCGACGCTCCTTGCTCAGTCACTCAGATCAACTTATATCGACCGGACGTGATCTACGTTTATATATATATAGTTTTGTGAACAATGATATCTGTATTTTTCTTGCTAAGTAAACAGTTTCAATGTCAATAGGAGTGTATTCACAAGGACTCCATAAAGGTAATAACAGACAGAACATTGTTACAACAGTGGCGTAAATTGCATCAACACATACACATTAATGTTTTCTTTTCATCAAATTCTAAAATTAGTTTGTTTTACGTAAATAACGTTATTACAGAACATTTTGATGAATTATTTTACCGTTTAATTCACCAAACAATTGCTATCATTTCTAAAAAAATAATGTTGTTCTGCATACTGTAGTGTACTGTAGTGTACTGTACTGTACTGTACTGTACATCATAGCAACAATAAGTGACAAAAAAGCCATTTGAGTCAACAGAAGAAACAGTGTTAACCATCTACTGTGATGTAACCAAACTAGATGGTTCACTTGTCATCTTCTGCAGCTACCATCATCACAAGACAACACCATCACCTAACAACACCATCACAAGACAACACCATCACATGACAACACCATCACATGACAACACCATCACATGACAACACCATCACATGACAACACCATCACCTAACAACACCATCACATGACAACACCATCACATGACAACACCATCACATGACAACACCATCACATGACAACACCATCACAAGACTACACCATAAACACTCATAATCTTGTGTTGACTAATAATAATAAATTAAAAATTAACGAAAATGAATTGATCACGGTTGTGTTATCCTGAGCAGGTTGTGGGTCTCAGCAGTGTGTTTACCGAGACAATATGAGAAATAAAACCTCCCTCACGAGGAAAATTATAATGGGTCAGTCAGTCAGGTGTGGTCTAACTTAATTAAAAACAAAAACAAAACAAAGAAGCCTAACAAAAAGTGCCTTCCATTGTCACTCTTTCGCTTTCAATATTTTTTTGTTTCATTTTGCTTATTTTTTATTGTCAAGTGACTCGCACAGTGATCGAATACCGTGTTCCTCATATACGCCCCCCCCCCCCACGCCAAACATTATGAATAACCGGTGAAATATTTCGTTCGTTTCGTAATACGTCTCAGGCAGCACATACATAAATTATCTGCAAACATTCGTATAATGGCTCGATTCGGGTCCTGTAAAAGTGAATGAGAAAAAAGGAAGCTGTATTACAAGTTAGGTAAACACCTTTCAGTGTGTTTATACAGACTCTTAAGCTACTACACTGTATGTTCAGCTTAACTCATATAACACAAAGAAGGATAGTAGTAAAATAATTTCACACACACACACACACACACACACACACACACACACACACACACACACACACACACACACACACACTAAAATAAATAAAAATAAAATATGACGGGAGTATAGCTGAGGTTTCATTGGCTGGTGTCCTACAACGCACAGTAATAAGCTCCACATGATACTGTGCCTCCTGTCTCGTGTTAACTATGACCACACTTGACAGCCATCAAGACCCTTGACACTACCACCATGACGTCTAAACTCTTCATAACTTCATGAAACTGGACACTTCCGTTACAAAAGACACAGTCAATCCAGTGTTGTTGTCATGAAGAGTGAGGATGTCCATGAATGAATATAACACAGGTAAAGTCAGCTGAGTGCCACACCCGCCTCCACGTCACTACATGGTACTAACATCTGAGTCACAGGTGTGCTTCCCTTAGTACATGGCGATTCATCAGTGATATATGAAAAAAAAAAAAATAATAATAATAATAATAATAGCAACAACACCATCTGACATCACACCACAAGTAACTATATCAATAAAACAGTAAAATATTAATAAATATTATTTTTCTTTGTGGAGGAATACAATATAAATCTTTGAAGGGCAGGGAGGAAAGGGATGACTCTATGGAGACTTAACGCTGTTTACTAGACTCTCTACCAGCTGTTGCTCGTACTACCTCCACCAGCTGTTGTTCTTACTACCTCCACCAGGTGTTGTTCTTACTACCTCCACCAGCTGTTGTTCTTACTACCTTCACCAGCTGTTGTTCTTACTACCTCCACCAGGTGTTGTTCTTACTACCTCCACCAGCTGTTGCTCATACTACCTCCACCAGGTGTTGTTCTTACTACCTCCACCAGGTGTTGTTCTTAGTACCTTCACCAGCTGTTGTTCTTACTACCTCCACCAGCTGTTGTTCTTACTACCTCCACCAGCTGTTGTTCTTACTACCTTCACCAGCTGTTGTTCTTACTACCTCCACCAGCTGTTGTTCTACTACCTCCACCAGGTGTTGTTCTTACTACCTCCACCAGCTGTTGTCCTTACTACCTCCACCAGCTGTTGACCTTACTACCTCCACCAGCTGTTACCAATAATCTACCAACCAGCTGCACCACAACCGCACTTCAGCTCAACAAATGCCTCTCACGCCACCACCAGAGACATCCTCCCCCGGTGAGAGAACTTTACCTACACGAATCAATTCCCATCCCTGTGGAGGGACACTGAGTGCCTTCTTCCCCCACTGACTATTCCTAAACGTCAGCTTCACTGTAGGCCTAAGGCAGAGTAGAGTGAGATAAAGAAAAAAAAATATTATTCCCTCGGTGGTTAGATTGGCCAACTCCACCATACTTTTTCCAACCTGGCACTCTAGAGTACCTTTTCCCTACCAGCACTCTGCGGCACTTTTCGCCTAATTTACATACAGCGTGCCTACCGCCGCCGTTCCCCAACTCTCCTAGTCTGTAATCTCATTCCCGCACCCGGCCAAACTTGGGAAGGATATTGGGAAATCCAGCGGGTGGTGTGTAGTGGTCCAGACCCGTGACGATGCTGAGGGGCGCCAGGGAGGGAAGGCTTGGGAGGTCTTCGTGGGGGTCACCATCTGGATCTTGTTCAGTGACAATATGTTGGGTAAAGAGAAGGTGAGGGACGCCGGGGGAGGCCTGAGGTAGGGGAGGGGGCATCATAATATAGTGTCCAGCAGCACTAAGGTTGGGGAGTGTTTACAAGTCGAGCAAAATTAATTACGAAGGAAAAATAAACAGGGTGAAGCAACAGGGGTACATGGGAGTTAACAGATGGATATTGACGGTAGTTGTAAGATAAAATATTTCGATATATCTGTTTGCCCACTGCCGAAGCGCCCTGGGAGCACGCAAATCCGCCTTAACACACTGTACCCGCTGTCATAGTTGTGGACAGTTGTATTAGCCTGTGTAAAATACGGCAGCGGTTATAATACTTTTCTTGATGGGTGTAGATGCTGTACACTAGACAGAAGTTGTACTGCTTGACAATACATGTTCTCTAACGGCATCAACCAGTTGGGCATTTTTTTTTTATCGAATAAAGGACACTAATAGAAAACTGGTGACAGACAGACAAACGCACGGACGAAAATTAATCTGTATTCTCCCTCCGGTGTCACAGAGAAGGATAATAATTACCCTGAGTAACAACACCGCTGAAATTCTCTACAAGAACACAAGTAATACATCATACACTCGTTGACCTATAGCTGTGACCTTAACCTTTGAGACACGTTCTTAACCTTGGTGTTTTGTCCTCTGGGGATTATATATGTTGGTGAGAAGTTTCTTCAAAATTATCTCAATCCAGCCAAGAATTGTGCTCCTTCGGCGACGCGTCCGACCTTTGACCTTTCTCTGACCTTCAACTGTGACATTTGAGGCTTAAATTCTATGTTCTGCACGTCATCTAACGGTAAAGTATATTGTGTAAAGTTTTGTCATTATTTATATTTAATTAAGGTTCATTAAAACTTATATTCTCTGCTTAGCTTTATCATGATACATATGCTTGAGTTTCAGGTAAAGTTTCATTAAGATAAATATTCTGTAAAGTTTCATCAAAATATTAATTCCTTAAAATTTCCTCAGCACATTTATATCTCAATTCCTTTTAAGAGTTATATTTTGGGATACGAACGCACGCAACACACCACACAATTGTCTTCGTGGCGATACAAAAACCCTTAATACCTTGAACTGCCACCCATAACAACTACGAGCAAAGCGTTTTATTTCATTAGGTTTATTTTACGCGGGAACTTACACAACAATGATCGTCTCTTTCTCTGGTTACCGACGAGCAGAAAATATTTAATCTTCGCACACACGGAAGTCATGGGTGGTGATGTGTTGATCATGCGAGTTTTAGTGAACAACACCGACAGATGGAGTCGGTCTTTGCCTACTGTATATACTGTACAAACTGTAGAGGTAGTACGCTGGCTGAGAGAACACCATGTGAGCACAGGAGACCAGCAGAAGCCAAGAGCGAGTGTCTAGTTTTATTCGACAGAAAATAGAAAAGATGCGCCTTACGGTGTAGCAAGAGTCAAAGTCCTTTTGGCAAGGTGAACGTATTCCTTTTAAAACGACTAAGTGAGTCATTCAAGAATGGAAAGCCTACGTCTCATTATGCATAAAAAATGCGTAGAAAGCATGACTGACTGAAGTTGGCGGCAGGAGTGAATGACGGTGTACTTGCTTAGGTAAGGAGCAGAGGAGGGGACAAGACAGGTAGTGTAAGCATTAAGGGTATGTTCTGTGGCAGGTGGGTTAACACGCAATAGGGCGAGAAACACAAGTGGGTGAACACGCAGGGTACTGCAAGTAGTGTCAACCCCTGCAGCTGCAACTGGGAACCTAGACGTGCCGTGACCGACGGATCGTGTTCCTGGGTAATGGTAAGACAATACAATTGACAAGATGTCCGGTCTTCCTGGGTTATTCCTTGACATTTCTTTGGTTATTGTGTTAGATACACCATCTTCACCGAAATGAAATTCACGCCTCGGTGGCCTTAGAGCCAACCATCCTCGAACACAAGAGGCAACTATTATTACAAGACACACCGGTGAACCAGGCAGGGCATCACCGTAGATGCTGGGTAGGACACGGTAGTGGCAGGGAAGATCACGGTAGTGGTAGGGCAGGACACGGTAGTGATAGGGTTGGACACGGTAGAGGCAGGGAAGGACACTGTAGTAGCAAGGTAGGAGGCAGAATGCCACGACAGGATTGGTGCCTGTATTATGTAGGAGATCCCGGTTGTTCTTTACCAGGCGAGGTAATAGCCTGCCGAGGAGACACGACCTAACGCTTCAGTGGTCACACTAGAGAAGGTACTGTACCCTGTAGGAAGAAAAACATCCTTAACTCAAAGTTAATAATGTCAAGATTTAAACAGTGTTGATTTAATTTATACTCTCAATAAAACTATTTTACTTTCCAAATAATTTGAGATGAGTGTTGTTCTTTGGCTTGGGAAGATGGGGCAGTCAAGCGCCCTCACGCCTCTACTTTCCAGCTCCCCGACACCCAATTACGGAATTTTAATGTGATTTGGTGATTCAATCATGATTTGTAAAATGAATGCATCTGAATGGAACCAGCCAATCTACATTTTGTAATTAAAGACAATTGAATCCGATTAAATCAGAATTCTGAATTCCAATTTTTCGGTAAAGACCTTGACGGGAGTGTTCACACAATAGGCTGTTTGAAAGCGTTCTCTGATTATATTTACCTAAAACTGATTATTTAGAAAATTAATGAAGGAACGAATGTGCTTCCTTTCACCGAGATGATAGGACAGTAAACAAGAGTTTTACAAAGTGCTTTAACACTACAACCAGGAGGACGACATCCTAGGTCCTGGCTGGCCTCTCCTCCCATACACCTGGCCAGGTAGAGTAAAGGTAAACGTGTGAGAAGTCTTCGCCTCCCCTTCTCATTACTGTCCACCATTATGGGCTGGCGACCTGTTGGATAATGCAGGAGATGCCTCCCCTCTCGAACCCTCCTGCTACCGACCCAGGCTACTTGCAACAGAAGAACTTGTACCGTTCTAGGGAGGGTCAACCTTCTTAAAATTGCATCGTGTCGACTGCTGCGAGGGACAGAGGAGTGGTGGCTGGTAATCCCGTTCACGCTGTGAGGGGCTGAAACAGGCCACGTCTCCTGTGTTGTGTGGCACACCCAGCACGCCCACTTCTATTTTACGTGACGCCCCCAGTACGCCCACAACTATGTTACATGACACCCACAGCACACCCACAACTGCTACGTGACGCCCCCAACACGCCCACTCCTGCACTGGTCCCGTGTATGATCATAGTACAAACACGTGATGTATGTCTGAAATAAAAGCACTGATGTATAGCCCCGATAAAAAACACAGTGATGTATTGTTTGCTAACAAGGTAATGGCGGGAGGGTGTGATGTAAGGCTCTGACACACAGCTGCGGGACTCGGTATATATGTTTGCTTGTTATATACTGTACTGGGCGATACCACCATACGCACTAACAATATCCTGTATATACCGAGCCGGTCGCTTGCCTCACTTGAGCGCGTATATATTATAATGTAATCAGTTAAAGATGTCGAAGTTGGGACTTGATGGACTGCTTTGCATAGTGTACATCTGATGTCATAACAGCTTGAGTCGTGTGACGCCGTATTCACGTAAAAAGGATTTTTTTTAATGGTTTAACAATCGACATATAAATACTTAAATAAAGACAATAAAGACATAACTATAATTAAAAGATTATAAAAATAAATTATAATGGATGGAGGCGACCTCCTTCATGATACTTAAAAACTCAATCCTCTGGAGATGAAACCTCCGCTTCCATCACACAACTGGGCAGTAGTTACCCACCCGAATCCTGGAGAGATGCCGCCTCCTTAGGTCCTCCAGCACGGCACACTTGACCAACAAATTTAATCATATTTCACACATTAATAAAGCACAGGTCTGGCCCACAGATAACAAAAATTTATTGAAAACGTACCATCGTCAACGTCACGATCATAGTTTCAAAACGTGGTCGTTAAGTGCTTTACCTCTGTACGTTTACGTCGATGACACACCATAACAAACTGTGCTACGGTAGTGGGTGACATACCCTCTACAGAACACCTTTTAAAGCAGGAAGCACAGAGTAGGGACGCACAGGATAAGCAGTAACTAGTACTACTATACAGGTCCATGAACCACGCACATATTAGTAATTTATGAGGACCTGGAACTTGGAAGGATATGGTCTACAAACACTGTCACCAGATCTGGAGGTCGTGAGAGTTGTACAGTTGTGGCACCATATTGTTTTTGAGCCTGTGTTGTACAGGAAACGTTAACAGTGTCAATGGCACCAAAAAATATCGGTGTCATCATGTCATGCCATTTGCTAATCTTTAAGTGACCTCCTGTACAGAAGACACAAAAGTTCACATTTGACATGAAACGATTATTTTCGTACGCTAAACACAGTTAACATCATCTGATACCAGAAAGCTAAAAAATATCACACTTCCTTTGCGCCTCAGAAATGCCCACATAAACCATCCACAAACAATTTCAGGTTGTGTGGATGAAGCTGCGGCCGGCAAGTACTCTACAATACTACTAAATTCTACTCTTCTTCAATCTCGGTCTTTATCTGTCTATTTGTAATGTTTCTTTATCGTTATTTTATACAAAAACAAAAATCCACATAAAATGTTTCCAGTTTATATTTATTTTTTTACCATATCTCACTTTAAAGTCCATGACAGGATTTACATTGAGGAAAAATAATCTTCCTTATACCGAATATACATAAGAACATAAGAAAATAAGAAGTCTGCAATAGGCCGGTTGGCCTGTGCATGGCAGCTCCTGTCGAGAGTTACTACCACTCTCTATCATTCATGAATCTATCCAGCCTCCCTTTGAAACTTTCCAGCGTTCCAGCACTGACTACAAAGTTGCTAAGCTTGTTCCACTCGTCCACCACCCTATTTGTAAACCAGTTCCTTCCTCTCTCCCTCCTAAACCTAAACTTATCCAACTTGAATCCGTTGTTCCGAGTCCTATCCTGCTCGGATATTATAAGAACTTTATCTATATCACCTTTATTGATTCCTTTCACCCACTTGAATACTTCTATCATATCTCCTCGCACTCTTCGTCTTTCTAGGGAATGCAAGTTTAGTTTCTTTAACCTATCCTGATATGGAAGGTTTCTAAGTCCCGGAATCATTTTCGTCATTCTTAGCTGGAATGTCGTGCAAGTGGAAATGACCATTTTTATACGGTCGCTGTGTCTTACGATGGTTTTCATGTCAGTTCTTGAATTATCTAATGCTTCATTTACGGGAACATCTAACTTGTCTCAAGTGGTATTATTGTGTGTGGCGGAACGGTAGGACATGGACAGTTTGTGTACCAAGTCACCGGCTGGAGCTGTGAGATTATCTTGAGTACTGAGCCAAGAGCGTCGTCATAGAAGCTTTGTTATGGTAGTGTATCAGGGCCGCCCCTTGGTGCTGTAGTGTACCAGGGCCGCCCCCCTTGTGTACCGGGCCGCCCCTTGGTGCTGTAGTGTACCAGGGCCGCCCCTTGGTGCTGTGGTGTACCCGGGCCGCCCCTTGGTGCTGTAGTGTAGGGCCGCCCCCAGGGCCGCCCCTTGGTGCTGTAGTACCAGGCCGCCCCGGTGCGTAGTTGCTGTAGTGTACCGGGCCGCCCCCTGGTGCTGTGTACCAGCCGCCCCTTTGTAGTGTACCAGGCCCCCCAGGCCGCCCCTGGTGCTGTGGTGTACCAGGGCCGCCCCAGTGCAGGGCCGCCCCTTGGTGCTGTAGTACTTGGTGCTGTGGCCGCCCCTGGGTACCAGGGCCGCCCTTGTGGGGTTGCTGGCCCCTTGGTGCTGTGGTGTACCAGGGCCGCCCCTTGGTGCTGTAGTGTACCCGGCCGCCCCTTGGTGCTGTGGTGTGCCGCCCTTGGTGCTGTAGTGTACCCGGCCGCCCCTTGGTGTGTACCCGCCGCCCTTGGTGCTGGGGCCGCCCCTTGGTGCTGTGGCACCAGGCCGCCCCTTGGTGTGTGGTGCCGCCGCCCCTTGCGTGGTGTACCCGCCGCCCTTGGTGCTGTGGTGTACCCGCCGCCCCTCACCAGGCCGCCCCTTGGTGCCAGTGTACCAGGGCCGCCCTGGTGCCAGGTACCACCACCGGGGCCGCCCTTGGTGCTGTAGGTACCAGGCCGCCCCTTGGTGCTGTTGTGTACCCGGGCCGCCCTTGGTGCTGTGGTGTACCAGGCCGCCCCTTGGTGCTGTGTGTAGTGCACCAGGGCCGCCCCTGGTGCTGTGGTGTACCAGGCCGCCGCCCTGGTGCTGTAGGCACCAGGGCCGCCCCTTGCGCGGTCCCGCCGCCCTTGGTGCTGTAGGCCGCCCTGGGCCGCCCCTTGGTGCGTACCGGGGCCGTGGTGCTGTGGTGTACCAGGCCGCCCCTTGGTGCCAGGGGGGCCGCCGCCCCTGGTGCGGCCCGCCGCCCCTTGGTGCTGTAGTGTACCAGGGCCGCCCTGCTGGTGCTGTAGGTACCAGGGCCGCCCCTGGTGCTGTGGTAAAGGGCCGCCCCTGTGCCAGTACCAGGGCCGCCCCTTGGTGCTGTATGCCCCTGGTGCCAGTAGGCCACCCCTTGGTGCTGTACCAGGCCGCCCCTGCTGTGCCAGTGTTGGTGCTACCAGTGTACCCCGCCCTTGGTGCTGTAGTGTACCAGGGCCGCCCCTTGGTGCTGTGGTGTACCCGGGCCGCCCCTTGGTGCTGTAGTGTACCAGGGCCGCCCCTTGGTGCTGTGGTGTACCCGGGCCGCCCCTTGGTGCTGTGGTGTACCAGGGCCGCCCCTTGGTGCTGTAGTGTACCAGGGCCGCCCCTTTACAGCCCCAACCCCAGGGGCGTACAAGTCCTTCACATCTTCATACACAAGAGGGTTTTTTTCGGGCTATCCTTTTCCTTGTGTTAATATGGAACATTATTCAGGAATCGTCCAGACACTATAATTATGGCAAGAAAATATTTGATCTGTGTGTCGCGGCTTTATAAGCTTAGGCAGCCAGCGCCAGGGGATCACAAGATACTGGCACTTACGACCGATCAGTATTTATCGCTTCTACTCCACAATGAGGTCACTGAAGATTATACACCCCAACTTATTTCACCTGATGATCAAATCCTAACCCCCGTGGTGTTAAGTCATTTAATCATCAGGTGAAATAAGCCGGGGTGCCTAATCATCAGGAGATCCCACAATTCATTTCAGCGTGAAAACAGTCAGCCTCACCGAAACACTTACGTGAAAAATAAAATCCAACGTCAGCGTAAACACATCCAACCCCAGGTAGAGGATGACCTTAGCGTGTTATAACCGATATATAAATTCTCAGCTAAATAAAGTAAGGTTCAACTAAGTATAAAAAAATGGTTTCCACAGAAGCACAGTGACACCAACCTACATGATATTTGCTAGCACAGGTAATGCACTCATACTGCGACGTTTATCACACGATTGGAAAACCAAAACCAAGACACACAGACAGACATTCACTCCCTCTCCTCTCTCCGCCTGTCGGCACAGTGGTAGCTTCCAGACACAAGATTAAGCTGTCCCATTGAGAGCCTTCATGACTCTGGGATTCTCACACACTCATGAGTGAGGCGACAGTGAGCCAGCCGCCACACGTCAATACTTGGTCGTAAATCTCCCAAGTCTTTTAACCGTGAGATATAACGTGACGCTCACACGCCAAACTCACCACAAACTTATTAACAAACATTGATGTGTCAGGCCCCTGTAGCAGAAACCCCCATCAACTCGCTGTAAAAATTCTGTATGACTTAGTGCTAGTGGGAGGATGTTCCTGGGGCAGTGAGGGGGACGAGGGGCGTGAATACCAGTGACCAGCCCCAGGTGTACCACAGTGACCTACACCCATCATCACGCCTACCTCGCGGGGGGTTGACGCTTCACTCATCCTGTCTCTCTTCCTATCACGTTACATAATTAATTCCTGGTGCAGCAGGTGTTTACCTGGGGTGATCATCAGGAGGTCGACAGGTTAATTAAGCCCAAGCTTCAGTATGGCGGATAATTCAACACAATTTACCGTAGCACGTAACTCCACCTAGTAAATACTGACGCTGGAAAAGGTACTCTGTGAATTAAAGACTATAAGAGGCGGCAAACCTATGTCAACCTGTGTAAATATTTCACACCACAGATACTCCTCATATCGTCAGCTGATATAACTTCCCCCTCCCCCCCAAAAAAAAATGCTTTTGATAATTACATTTGCTGTCAACAAGTTCGTGCAACAAGCAACAATACAAGAAAGTGATTCTCGAGAATGTGATTCCTCACTCCTCCACAAACAATTACATTACACCATAACACTTGATAATATTTCATCAGCTATCATCACGTCCACTAATGCGTTGGTCGCCTCCCACCATCACGTTCATCACTTTCTCCCGCATCACAAAAAAACTAGCATGGATGCATGTTAAAAAAAGTAACAAACCATATCGCCCATATATCCATCCAACCTATGTTTGGATGCTTATATGAGCAATAGGGGGTTGGGTGTAAATGGGACTGTCCAGTATGGGCCAATAGGCCCGCTGCAGTTTCCTCCATTCTTATGTTCTTATGATAGAGGCGTATAAAATGGAAATCAGGGCTAAACAAAGGGGACATTACAAAGGATACATACTACACCCCTCGCCCCGCGTCTCTCGAGGGAGTGCAAATTAAGATGCTTTAACCTGTCTCTGTACTTAAGGTTCCTAATGCACAGTAAAGAATGACATTGTTCTCAGTCTGGATGGTAAGATGGGGTGGCTTAATCTTACCTTTGACCTCTTGTCAGCAGATGCATTGCCTAACTGTGCTGGTCACTAATCCTTCAGGTGGTCTCCTGAATCTGGGTGGTAAGGCGAGGTCAGCTTAACGCGGTCACTAATTCTGGTGATGGGTGGGGTAAGGGCCCTGGGCGGTCGCACCGCTTGCCATACCCTTGGGACGGCTCTGTGTGTATGTATAGTGTGTGTGTGTGTGTGTAGTATGTATGTATCCAACTTGTTGCCGCAAAAATACTGTATGTGTGTGTGTGGAGGGGAGGCTGAGTTATAAGGATGACGGCAGCCTCCTGGGTATAGCTCTAGGCGATGGTCAGAGGGTCTCCAAACTCCCATCTCGGGTTTCACTTTTGAAAATTCTTTAATCTCAGATTTCTCAAGTGAAACCTAACACCATCGTACACTCACATGTCCTCCGCCTTGTGTTTGATGCCTCCCTCCACACACCCCGGTCGTCTTCAGTGTTTCCTGCCACCTCTACAAAAGTCAACATTGTCTCAATTCTCCAACGACAGGTCCAGTATGAGACTCGCCTGAAGTATGTTGACTTTGTACACGTCATCGTCAGTCCATGAGGCACAAGCGGCTCCAACTCCACCTGAGACAGTGTGCCGAGCCACTAACACTGCTGGAAACACGTGAGAATGACTGTGTGGTGGTGGTGCAGAGAATGAAGACGCCGGCCACACAGTACTGGTGGCCGATGACTGCCTCCTGCAGACAAGTTAGCGTTATGTACACGGAAGATTGTAGTCTGTTTTTATATATTTAGAGTTTTTCATTAAATTAAGGAAATGGATGGCTGCACAGACCTTGCCGTAAATTAAATTACGGAAAATGCAGTTCAGTATAAGAACATAAGAATGGAGGAAACTGCAGCGGGCCTATTGGCCCATACTGGGCAGTCCCGTTTACACCCAACCCCTATTGCTCATATAAGCATCCAACCAATGTTTGAAGCTATTCAGCGTATTCGAGTTAATGATGATATTTGGGAACTTGTTCCATTCATCACTTCCAGTAAACCCTCTTCTCATATTTAGAAAAGTTGCTATTTTCTGAGCATGGCAAATTTATTTTCAAGAATAGCTTCAAACATAGCTTGGATGCTTTTATGAGCAATAGGGGTTGGGTGTAAACGGGACTGCCCAGTATGGGCCAATAGGCCCGCTGCAGTTTCCTCCATTCTTATGTTCTTATAAATGACGTTTTTCTTTTTCATTTACGAGTCTTAGAAAAATATTTCACTAGTGGGAAGCTAAAAGAAATATAGTGAAGTCATCCTCCCGTCAGGGATGAGAGCCGCTGGTGGCCCAGATATAAACCAGAAAGGGTTATTGGGTTGACTCCTCGATAAAAAAAAACCTTTGTGCCACATCTGAAAAATCTTTTTTTTTTAATCTCAAAGATGAAAGTTGTTGTTGACCGAAGTAAACAGAGGCAGCCATTAGTAGTCTCCACCAGTTAAGGGTTGTGGGCACCTGTACTCAATATATTTACCAACATAAAAAACTGAGCGGAAGTCCAAGAACACCTACTGGGAGACAGGAGCTTAGGGCTGTTGTCAGAGTATAACTAATACGTTTATTCATCTTCAGTGTCAGTAATACGTTATTGACATTACTTACGTGAACGATATTACTGCGTGTTTTTAATACAAATATTATTATTATTATTGTTATTATTATTACTGTTGTTATTTATTTATTATTTTATTATTTAATTATTAATGCCATCTTTATAAAGAGCGCACGCACACAATATAACCCCGTACATTATCTCATGAGGTAAAAGCTACAATATATAATTAAAGAACTAAAGTTTACACAAGACAAGGGTACATAGAGAAGGGGTTCATAATTAAAGGTACACAGGTGATCAAAGTTGGCTCCACCTGAAACTTTAAACTGGGCTCGATGAGGACCCAGCCAGCCAGCGATAGACGCCGACAGTTTTAATTGAAAATGGAGAGGGAGGAAGGAGGGGCAGGCTGTGAGAGAGGAAAGGAGGAGGAGGGTCGGAGGCGTAGACTTTTAGAGAGGGGAGGAAGAGAAGCGCAAGAGGTGTAGAACTGTAGACTGTATGAGAGGAGAGCAGGAGGAGGGTTGAAGGTGCAGACTGGGACAGGGGAAGGAGACTGTGAGGGAGAGGAGGGTCAGCCTGTGATGGAGAGGAGGGTTAGACTTTGAGGAAGAAAGAAGAATATCCACCTCTGGATTATAATTCCAAGCATGATTATAAGGCCAGCATCAATATTCATTTAAAATGACATACTGTAATACCGTAAAGCAGGTGACCCACACGACATTTCCCTCAAGCATTTTGGGTCACGTATCTCGGATTATTCCAGGTGTTCAAAACATCCCCTGGACGACACGCCTGTGAGGAAACTCCAAGAACATAAGAATGGAGGAAACTGCAGCAGGCCTGTTGGTCCATACTGGGCAGTCCCATCTACACCCAACCCCTATCGCTCATATATCCACCCAACCTATGTTTGAAGCGTATTCGAGTTATGATGATGTTCGGTAACTTGTTCCACTCATCCACTACTGTATTCCCAAACCAGTGTTTACCTATCTCGCGCCTAAATCTAAATTTGTCTAATTTAAAAGTTAAAACCATTGCTACGAGTTCGCTCCTGGTTGGATAGTCTGGGTACAAACAATGAAACAAAAAACATTTGAGAGGTGTAAAAGTAATATTTACCGTTTTCACATTATAAGCTTCTTTCACTAATGACACCATGCATCTGTCTGACCAGTATATACAGTAGTGCTATTTCAATTATCTGTCATACCCAATTAAGACAGGATCCTCTCATGTTGACCCTTAGGCGGGAGTTATTAGTATACAGTACCTGGGAAAATATCAGACATATGACTTAATGAAAAATGAAATCTACATAAAAATAAACGAAAAAGACAACAAAGAAATCAAGACAAAATAATATGTACAGTTGCCCACAGGTATAATGTTGCACCCCTCGCTGGCCTTCCCTAACATGTGGCAACTATAACTGTTACATGATAATAATAATACTTATATACCTTTATATTTATTCAATATTAATTCTAAGGTTTCTGGGTTTTTTTTTAACTTCTTGGCAAACCGAGAAAGATTTGGTGTTTCATATCGATAAGTTCATAGAAAGAGATAAGACAAAAGAAGAATCACCCGAATGACATAGAACTATCTTCCTCCAAGACACCCAATTTCACACACACACATACACACACACACACCCAACAGATGTAGAGGAGGTCCGTGTGAGGCAGTAACCAACAGAGGCACGACCGCTGAGGCAGCAGCAGCAGGAGGAGGAAGTACACCTGGCAAACGGCACCTCATTAATGATTCACCTGGAGGGCCTCAGCGCTAACACCACCAGCACGGAGAGGAAATGCTTATAATCCCCGTATTAAGACCCCAGACCAGCCTCCAGGGGATAATACCTCTCTACCTGTTGGAAGTAATCCGCCAAGAATAGTTGTGTATATCGCGGCTGTTTACGTTAGCGAGGACTATAACGCTAACATTTATTACCACTCATTAGGAAGAGACTAACTATTACCAATAACCAGTAAAACAACGAGGATGATAATGCTCGATACATTTATCGTGCAGACG